TAGCATAGTGGTTACAAGTTGGGCTGCTACCCTCAAGGTCAGTAGTTCGAAACTACCAGCTCTTCCGTGGGAAAAAAGATGAGGCTTTCTGCTCCCATGAAGATTTTCAACCTCAGAAACCCTATTCAGGGGTCACCAGGAGTCAGAACCGACTCCCCAACACATAACCACTAGGTGGTTGGATGTCAGCTCAGATGGAAGGAACGGGCACCATGTGAATTTGGGAGTCAGTAGCACAAGGAATCCTGGTGTGGCGCTGTGGGTGAATGCGCCAGATTGCAAAGGCATTTGAACCGCAAGGTAGGCAGTTCAAGCTCACCAGCTGCTCCTTGGAAACCCTATGCAGGGTCGTTATTGACTCGATGGCACTTAACAACAAGCATAAGGGGTGAGTGAAGGCATATAATGCAACTGATGATGTTGGATTCTAGGATTCAGTATCTCTGGTTTAAGAAGCTAAGCAGTTGCTCCCGTCTGGTTTCATTGCTGCGCATCCCACTTGGTAACTCTGATGCTGTGTGCTATGGTCACATCATCCAGAAGCACCTTCTGTGAAACATGTCAATTCTAGCTTCTAGCCTGTCTTGGTGTGACCCTGTATGTTAAGCACTGGACTAACTGCAAGGTCAGCAGTTCAAACCCACCAGTCTCTCCTATATAGCATCATTCTGAGTCTGACCCAACTTAACTCACCACCACCATTCTGCCTCTCTGATTTTATTTCCAACAGGCTCTATTTCACTTGAAATTATTTTGCTCCTTAGTTATCTGCCAGGGATTAAGCATTTCCTAGAAATCTTGTAGGAAGAGTATCCAGAAAAACAGATCAAGTCTTATCATATTCTGATCCAAGTAGTCATTTTACTTAAGAGCTTACCTCATTTGACCATCACTGGGTCTCTGCACTCTCAACTGCACTGCCCAGACTGCTCCCTATGTTCAAAGGGGTTGGAGGCTAGTGACCGCCCCTCCTCCCCCATGACTCCAGTTAGAACAGACAGTGACATCAGACTTCTGTTCTTTAAACATTCCGTGTATTAAGGGAAATGTTAGCAGATAACTCAGAGACATGAGAGCGATGGTAAGAGCTTGGGCAGGAAGGGCAGAGCTAATGAGCAGCTAGGAAATGAGATCATCTCTTTTTGAAATTCATCTGCTATTAAGGACACAAAGTACAAAGGAAGGGACATGAGGAAATTAACCAATGAGCTGAGCCATCCCCTGGGACCAGTACCTTTCACACCTGGACCCAACTGTGGTGATCTAATGCATTAGGGCTGCTCTATCTAGGGCCTTGTTTCCTCTAATGAGGTTCTGGTCAGATTCACTGCAGGTAAGAGCAAAGAGCCAGTCTACTCATGTCGAAGTTTTGAAGTGACTACTTTGTTTACACACGGCTGAAAAGCAAGACAGAAGACATCACAACACAAAACCCCAAAAGGCCAGCTCTTATTCCCAAGTCCTGTGAATCTGAAAGATCCACTTCAAACACCACCACCACAGAGAACAGCTGTCAGAATGTAGCCTCTGTCTGCTTATTCTAGAAGCCCTGCATTGTGCCTGCTTTGGCAGCACGTATATTACAGGGGAATGACACAGAGCTGAGCATGGCCCTGAAAGATGACATGAAAAGTCATGACACATTAACATATATAAAAGTCTAGCACCCAAGAAAGGTTTCTAAATTAAACATTTTAAATGGTATTTGTGAAAACACATCAAATTATATACCCTTAAAATTTCTGCCTTTTATAATTGTTGTTGTTGTTAAGTGCTGTCGAGTCGGTTTCGACCCATAGCGACCCTGTACAGGGTTTCCGAGGGTGTATATCTTTATGGGAGTAGAAAGCCTCATCTTTCTCCCGCAGAGCGGCTGGTAGTTTCGAACAGCTGACCTTACGCAGCCCGCTTCGCAACCACTACGCGACCAGAGCTCCTTTTTTAATAGCATTATCAAATACCTTAATTTAAAAAATTATTTTAAAAGTAGATAAGGAGAAAGAAAAAAGTACACCATTAGATGTGACAGATAAATGAAACAAAATCATTTATCATTGTATCTATTATCCCTAGCAGGGTCAAGAGTGGAAACAAACAAGCAAAGGATACTTTAAAAAACACGATGCTTTTGCTGCCTGAACACACATTTCTCTTGAATTGTGAAAGGAATTCTTCAGGTAAGTTATGGCACCCCACCCACTTTCCCATTGGGGGCGGTGAGCCAGGGTTCATTTTGGTTTGATAATGGTCTTTTCATGAACATAAAAGTCACTCACACTCATTCTACCAAATCAAGGATGAAGCTCAATGGATCTAGGCATCACAGGCTTCGAGGGTATGGGGAAAAGGTGGTAGATCCATTTATTTAAATAAAACCCAGGCTGAATAACAAGCAAACAATCCTTGTCCATCTGGAGATTTTAATATATTTATTTGAAAACCAAGTTCTGTGAAAGAGCACACTAAATACATCTCTTCCCTTCAAGCGAAGATTCAGAGGCAGGTTTCTTCGGGGCAGCGCAGAGCTGATGATACATGCAGTAAGAAACAGGTCTCAGCTCGGATGTCCTCACAGGCGTGGCCACGGCCAGCCTGGGCGATCTGCTTCAGATAAACACATGAGTCTGGGAAAGGGGAAGAAGGAACTTGGGTTATTCTGTAATCCAAATACGCTTTTTTCTTTGATTTTTTTTAAACTACTAGTGTGGCGCCGTTGGCTAAGCATTCGACCATTGTTGTTGGTGAGTGCCACTGAATCGTTTCCAACACATAGCGACCCTATACAGGGTTTCCAAGGAGCAGATGGTGAGCTTTAATTGCCGACCTTGTGGTTCAAACAGATTTTGTAGGTCAGCTCATGAACCCACAGCAGCACAACAGGACTCCTAGCATTCATTCGCCCATAAGGTCAGTTTAAACCATAAGGTTGGCAGTTCAAACTCACCAGCTGCTCCTCAGAAATCCTATAAAGGGTTGCTATGAGTCAGAACCGAATTGATGGCACTTAACAACAGCAGTTTTTTAAATCTAAAACTAGTCTCAGTTCTGCTAATAAAAGTCCTAAAGTGCCAAGAGACTAGTTTTCAAATGCCTAATAACCTGAAAGTTTTATCTTTTTGAAAACTACCAAGAGTCCAATTTTCAATTGTAGACTTGTAAGCCTGTTTACAGTTAGTTAACTGCCTTGAAAGAGTCTTCAGGAAGAACTGTGAAAGGTTGAAGGGAGCTAGTAAGAAACAGTTCAATCCTGAGAGACTGAGTATGCATGTTATCGATACGGCACTGTGCTGACTAGGGTTAGGCAAAGCTTAGATTACCATCAAAGGCAGTGGTTCCCTGGCAGGGACCTCAGTATACATCTTCCCCTCTACTGTCCAAACTAAGATCTCCCTAAGGTGGCAATGTATCCTCTTACTAATGTCCTGCCTTGGTATTTATTATCTGAAATTTCTATAAAAGTTTTCATTGATACTCAGCCACTCTGTGGCTGCAACTAGACTTTAAAATGCAGTTTTTTTTCTGTCACAGTGTAATAAATAATAGGGTTTATATTTTATTTAAAGGGTAGAAAAAACTCATGTTTGACTGAAAATGTATTTGGACTAGGGTGGAATTAAGAGAATTTTGATTACGTAAGATTATATGCTTCAAAAAGCTTGTGAAAAAATTCCATTATCTCTTAATTATGTTTTTCCTCAAAAAAGTTCATGGAATTAAAAGATAATGGAATTTTTTCAGAATTTTTTGATGTTTCCTAATGCGCCAGACTGCAAAGCCATTTGGACTTCAAAGTTGGTGGTTCAAGCTCACCAGCTGCTCCTTGGAAACCCTGCACAGGGTCACTATGTGTCGGAATCAACTTGACGGCACTTAACAACAACAACAATATGGGAAATAAGACAATTTCATGAAAGTGGGTTATTCCAATCCTTTGTCTCTAAAGACCCCTTTCAGCATTCTTAAGATACTGGCACAGCAGTGATCTTTCGAATAGGATGAAGCTTCGTGGTACAGTCTCCACACAAAACAAACCACAACTAGTTGCTGTTGAGTAAATTACGATTCATGGAACCCCCACATGTGTCAGACTAGAACTGTGCTCTACAGGGTCTTAATGGTTGGTTTTTTCCTGAGGAGTCTCTGGGAAGACCATCAATTAGTCACCACGTGTGGTAGCCATTTGTAGCTGCAGGGACCCTGGAACAGTGTGATTGCCCCCGACCTCCTGGAAGCACCAGGAGCCCAGATGGTGCAATGGTAAAATGCTCACTGTCACCAGAAGGTTGGCAGTTTGAGGTCTGAATTCACCCAGCACCCCTGCAGCCTTCTGTAAAGATAACAGCCTTGAAAACCCCAATGAGCGCTTCTATTCTGTCATACGTGTCGGAATTGACCTTACAGCATCCAACAACAATATAGGTCTAATAGTTTCATCAATTAATGTTATAGCTTTTTGTGCCCAAAGATTCTGTGCTACTCAAAGTGTGACACCTGGAATAAGGATGAGAATCCGTCCATAGACTGACTAGAAGTGATCCGCAGCAAGCAACTTCCTTCAGAATGCAAACCAATTCTGTCACTAAGCAATAGTCAGTTCAGAAGGCTTACGTTTTCTAGGGAGCAAGACTTTGTCCAGGAAAGAACCGAGCAGATTTATGTTCTGGAGCTATGAAACCAATATGCAGCCAGTCACAGTCAACAGCGCTGGCAGGATACTAAGGGTGGAGAGTTGGTGGCTCTGTATGTAGTAGGGACAGATCAAAGCAAGGGAAATGATCACTGTGGACTGTTGTTGTTAAGTGTCATTGAGTCAGTTCTGACTCACAGAGACCCTGTAAAGGGTTCTGGGGAGCGGCTGGCAAGTTTGAACCAGATTAAACAACATAAAAAAAGTGGGGTGGTGGCCGACTGAGACAGTGTCCTTGCATAAAACCCTTGTGAAGTTCTGATGAAGAGAATTCTCTTCACATGCAACCTTAGTCCATACGCACCTCTAGCTCTTAGTCATCAATATACTCAAATGGTTCTGGGGGTTCTGGCTCCTGTTCTTCCTCCTCGATTTTTGGCCCATGGGCTGCCACAGGTTCCACCAGCTCTTCAATATCTTCACTGGTGTCCTTCAGAATGATGATGCCTCCAATGGAGAGCTGGAAATACAGATCAAGGGGTGAAGAAATACAAGTCCCACTCAAAACAGTATGTTCACTACACAATGCAAAATGCTTCCTTGTCAAATTGCATCTTCACGCTACCTAGTGTTCTCAAAGTAAAGAACTGGGTTCAGAACTATACCTTACTAGATGGGACTCAGGAAACCTGCGTACTTATGCCTGTGTAACCTTCACTAGACTGTTCCAGATACTTGAAGGGGCTAGAGTAATGTCTTCCTGATTATTCCTTCAGATATATCTGAAGACTAATGACGAACACAAAGCTAATGCCAGTTCCAGACATAAGAGACAACTGTGACTTATAAGGAGCATTTGCAAACTTCATCCACTGACTCTGGATGCTAGAACATACGATGCTGTCTAACCTTAATGATATGTCCCAAGTGAAGAGTAGTTTTTCCTCGCCTAGCTGAAATGTCAGAGGTTCTCTGACAGAGAAACACGTGGCAGTCTGCTTTCATAAAGACTGTTGTTAGGTGCTGTCAAGTTGGTACCAACTCATAATGACCTTGTGCATAACAGCACAAGGCACTGTCCAGGCCTTCACCAGTGTCACAATTGTTGCCACACTTGTGCTCATTGCTGTCGCCACTGTGTCAATCCTTCTAGTTGGGGGTCTTCCTCTTTTTCCTCCACTTTACCAAACATGATATCCTCCAGTGACTAGTCCCTCCTGATAATATGTCCAAAGTATAAGAGACGAAGTTTGGCCATCCTGGCTTCTAAGGAGCATTCTGGCTGCACTTCTCCCAACACAGATCTGTTGGTTCTTTTGGCAGCCCGTGGTACTTTCAATATTCTCCTCCAACACCATAACTCAAAAGCATCCATTCTTCTACGGTCTTCCTTATTCACTGTCCAGCTTTCACATGCATATGAGATTATTGAAAATACCATGGCTTGGGTCAGGCACACCTTAGTCCTCAAACTGACATCTTTGCTCTTCAACTCTTTAAAGAGGTTTTGTGCAGCAGATCTGCCTAATGCAATATGTTGTTTGATTTCTTGACTGCTGCTTCCATGAGTGTTGATGGTTGATCCGAGCAAAATGGAGTCTTTGACAACTTTGATCTTTTCTCCATTTATATGGGTATTATTTATTGGTGCATTGGTAAGAATTTTTGTTTTCTGTATAATGAGGTGCAACCCATACCGAAGACTGTGATCTCAGATCTTCTTCAGTAAGTATTTTAAGTCCTCTTCGCTTTCAGCAAGCAAGGTTTTATCATTAGCATATCGCAGGTTGTTAATGAGTCTTCTGCCAATCCTGATGCCATGTCTTTCTTCATAATCCAGCTTCTTGAATTATCTGTTCCATGTACAGACTGAACAAGTCTGGTGAAAGAATACAACCCTGGTACACATCTTTCCTAATTTTAAACCATTTGGTGTTCTCTTGTTTTGTTCTAACAACTGCCTCTTGGTCTATGTACATGTTCCTCGAGAGCACAGTGAAGTATTCTGGAATACTCATTCTCTGCAATGTTGTCCATAGCTTGCCATGATCCACACAACAGAAGGCCTTTCCTTGAAACAGTAAAGGATTCTATGGGCAAAACCTGCTCAGCACTTGAAGATTTACAGTCTTGGAAACTCTAATGAACATTTCTACTCTGACCTATAGGGATGGTAAGAGTTGGAATTGACTCCACACAATGGATCATTTCCCAGCCACGGTCCTGACTGGCAGTCTGTCTGACTTGAAAGAGAGAATGTCTACTGTCTGTATGTGATTTGTTTGTTGCTCAAGGGCTGGTCCTGGGCCAGTAATAATTTCAGGTGGTTAGAAATGCAAGAAACCTAGCTTCATCCTAGATCTATACAATCTGCATTTTAACAAGGTCTCCAGATGATTTGTATGCACACTGAAGTTTGAGAAAACATATTATTCTAATATAGATCATATTACTTATCAGAAGATCATCATTTTAGCCCCAAAAGCAATCTCCAGCAAGTTCAGAACACAGAAACCCCAATAAATATCCTAAATATCATAGTGTTCTTTTACATTGGTCTACAAACCCACAGATGTAAGACAATGAAGCTCTACATAAGAAACAGAAGGGAACTAGGCAGTAGGAGCAGTTCTATTAAGCCCTCTCCCTCATATATCAGCAGAAGGTAAACTCAAACACCACACGCTCCACCCAACTCTGCCATGCTAATCATATTTGATTTGCCCTCTGTAATTCAATCAGTGAACAGTAGCCGGCACATCTGGAAAAAGCATCTTCTACCAAAGTACATTACTGGCAAGGACAAGACGACCAGCATGTCAATCAGTGATTCCCACGTGGATAACCACAACTACGGTTCAAACTACCCCAACTGTCCCTCATCACAACTCTGTCCGGCCCTGCTGTAAAACTGGGACTGCCTTCACAGATTTCTAAACTAGTCCCTTCTCTCAACACACACAGTAATCTATACTTCTCTCCCTTAAAAACTGTGCTTTTCTTGAACAGAATCCATTTTATAAATGGACCCTAACTTTATTACTAATAGTCACCCAAGAATGATCACAGTGTATGGCCACTGCCCTAAAAACACCCACAACCAGATGAATGTGTGAAAATACCCATGGCTCCCCAAGAAAGAACATCCTATTTTTCCTGAAACACCCAGTGTCAGGTTATCCAGCAACATAATCAATATAGTGACCTTGGATAGGGTTTCCGAGGAGCAGAGGTGGATTTGAACCAGAGACCCTGCAGTTCAAATGGACCTTGCTTATCCTACAGGGCCACACCAGCATTCCAATCAACAGATGGGAAGGGCTTTTTAGAGCTACAGGATTTAAATTAATTAACGCTTTATATGTCAGTGATCAAGTTCACATGAAGCAGACAGTGAGATATACGAGATCCTGTTCTCAAGGAAGGCAAGTGACAAGAGATAGCAAACACTTCCTGCTACGTCTTTTCGGATGGAAAGGAAACAGTGGGATGTTAGCCATCCTTAAAAACAGGAGGTGCTTCTTTCAAGTGTAGCACCTGAGATGGGCTGCTGACCGCGCCCCTGAAAGGAGAGTGAGCCACCAGGCAGCCCTTCTTCACTGCACATACTGAGGCAGCCTTTTCGTCAACTCTTTCTCTTTTAAAAAGAGACATTAGAATTGTCATGTAGGACTGCAAAGTCAGTCTGAACCACAACATTAGCAGTTCAAACCACTGCTCCCCAGAAACGCCACATAGGGTTACAATGAGTAGGAACTGACTCAACCACACTTCATAACAATAATATAAATAAAACATACTTCTAAAGTATACAATTCTTTGTGGTGCTGTGGGCTAATGCATCAGACTGCAAAGTCGTTTGAACTACAATGTCAGTGGTTCAAGCTCACCAGGTGCTCCTTGGAAATCTATGGATTGGAATCGACTCGACGGCACTTAACAACAACAAAGTATACAATTCAGTGGATTTTAGTACAATCACAAAGTTGTGTAAACATATAATTCCAGAACATATGCATTAACCTAAAAGAAACTCTACCCATGAACAATCTGGCTCCCCTAAGAACTCACCTAGTCTAGATAGTTTTTACCTTACAACTGTGAGAAGAGTTGCCGTCTATCCACCATCAAGCTCCTGGTTGATAAGAATGTGTTTACTACACAACTATGAATGTGGTGAAGCATACAGTAGGTAAAATGATGAAAACTCCCTAGATATTATCAAACATCTTAAGGCAGTAAGTTGTTGGGCCAGGGGGCTCAGGACCATAGTTTTAGGGGACACATGCACAAGACCTTTTTAAAGTGTTGAAGAGCAAAGATGTCAGCTTGAAGACTAAGGTGCACCTGACCCAAGCCATGGTATTTTCAATAACCTCATATGCATGAGAAAGCTGGACAGTGAATAAGGAAGACCGTAGAAGAATTGATGCTTTTGAGTTATAGTGCTGGAGGAGAATATTGAAAGTGCCATGGGCTGCCAAAAGAACCAACAGATCTGTGTTGGAAGAAGTGCAGCCACAGTGCTCCTTGGAGGCCAGGATGGCCAAACTTTGTCTCTCATAATTCAGACATATTGTCAGGAGGGACCAGTCACTGGAGAAGGATATCATGTTTGGTAAGGTGGAGGGTCAGAGAAAAAGAGGAAGACCCCCAGCAAGACGGATTGGTAAAGTGACAGTGTCAATGGGCTCAAGTGTGGCAACAATAGTGAGGCTGGCCCAGGGTCAGGCAGTGTTTCGTTCTGTTGTGTATAGGGTCGCTATGAGTCGGTACCGACTCGATGACACCAAACAACAACAACATAGTCAACTGGCATAACATAGTCCACAAAGACAATGTTCTACATCCTATTTTGGTGAGTAATGTCTGGGTTCTTAAAAACGCGTAAGCAGCTCTCTAAGGTGCAGTTACTGGTCTCTCTATGTGTGGAAGATAGACAAGTGATGAGGATTGAAGAGGCTTGGAAACAGTCCAATGGATTTTAATGAAACATGTGAACGAACATCCGTTTCTACAACTCTGAGACCAGAACTAGAGGGTCTGGCTCCCACTACCACATTAGAAGGTCTCGGATAAAGCAGCAGACAATGTGGAACAAAACTCAAAACTATTAAAAAAAGACTGGACTGACTGGGCAACAAGAAACTGGAGGGTCTGGAAAGGAACTCACCCTCATGGCCCAATTTTGAGCCAAGTAGTAGGTAGGTACATAGAGGGGACACCAGCACTAGTAAGGTCTGCTCATCATGGAATGGTCAATCATTCAAAATCAAAAGGGGAACATTTACCTACAGACAAAGTTGAAAAGAGATGGAAATAGGAACCACAGGAGGAAGTGGGACAACTGGTGTTGCAGGGAGGGGATTGCAGTCATTGAGATGAAGCAAAGTGTGTGGTTTATTGCATGTAAAGCTGATGATCTGCTCTTTAAACCTACCTTCATTCAATTCACACATTAAAAAAAAAAAAAAAAAAAAAAAAAAGAATGGATTTATTCTTCTATCAGCATCTATAAATCTTGTTAATAAGAATGCCACAGACTCAGGATCTGGATGTCTTGAATGTATCTACTGATGACTCCCTAGTTTTCTATATATAAGAACCTGGGAAACAAAGGCATTATCACGCTCAAATTTCAGATCAACGTTTATTTCTAATGTAAAACTTTCTGCCTTGGAATAAACTAAATGACATTCAGATTCTTTTCTAAATCTAAAATTATATGAAAGCAAGGTAATTATAATGATGATTAACACTAAACAGTGCCAGGTCTTGTTCTAAGTGCTTATGTATTACTTTTATAAACTTGTACAATCTTTGTCATATTCCTAAGAGTTAGGGAGATAATCTCTTCCTTATACTACTAAATTAAAGCATAGAGATGTACCCACCCCAATATCATAAAATATGTAAGTGGTAAAATACAGATCCAAGCATGGGATGCTTAGGAAATGGATCTCTCTCTATTAAGAGTCCACTGGTGTATAGCCAAGAGTCATTTGTAACTTACTGGTTTGAAAGGTTGATATCTACAAGTCTCTGTCATGGTTAGGACCTTTAGCTGGGCAGGCATAACTCGGGCTGGGTTATCCAATAACTGGAAGTTTGGCTCAGGTTCTTTTTTCTTCTCTTTTTCTTCCTTTTTCTCTGCCTCATCCTAGGGAGAAAACAAAATAAAAAAGTCCTATAAGGTTCCCGTCCGTTCCCCACCACTGGGTACATTTAAGTTCCGGTGTAGCGGTAGTGGTAAACATAGTGGAAGTGTAACTAAAGTGGAGTCAGATTCAGAGGAGGGAGAGAGGAACTCTGAGGTGAGTATGGCATGAACTTAAGTTGTAATGGATGAGGCTTTCCAACCAGCAGAGTTCAGAAACAGGGTGTATTTAAGCAAATGACAAGAAAATCCTGTGGCCAAAGAGAGAAATAAAACTTGGGAAGCTAACGGACATCAGATCTTATCTGAAAGGGCTTTTTTGTTTCATTTTCTCTTCATCTTGTGAAAATCCTACTTTGCCAGTTTTGGTGGTCATTTCTTCTAGGAACTCATCTCTAACCTTCTATTCTTCCAATAAATGGGTATACAAGGATGAGTCAAAACTTTTTCGCATTCTGGTTATACTAAAATGCCAGTCCATGTCCATGACTAGCTGACGAGAACATTGAGCATGCATGCTCATGAAATGATTCTATTGAATACACAAGTGACGGGATTATGTGGCAAATCGTTTGCACATCAGCCGTGGCTCTGCCTATGAAATCATCCATGACAGACTTGGGCTTTGAAAGGTTTGTCCACCATGGGAACTGACACAACTCACCGAAGAGCATCAACAGAAGTGTTTGGACATCTGCAAATAAAATGTAGACCAATACTCAAAGGAAGGTAAACATTCTTTTTTTAAAAAATCATTACTGGTGATGAGACATGGATTCATCACTACGAGCCTGTGAGTAAACAGCAAAGTATGGAAAGGAAACATCCTCAATTGTTGACCAAGAAAAAGCACAAAAGTCAACCATCAGCTGGAAAACTGATGCTTACAGTTTTCTGGGATTCTCAAGGGCCAGTACTGGAACACTATCAGGAAAAACATTTAACAATCAGTAGCACTGTGAGTTAATGCGCCAGACTGCAAAGCTGTTTGAACTACAAGTCAGTGGTTCAAGCTCACCAGTTGCTCCTTGGAAACCCTATACAGGGTCGCTATGGGTCAGAACCGACTCGACGGCACTTCACAACAACAACAACAAGTGCTTGTTACAGTGAGATGCTCACTGAAGAGCTGAAGCCTAAACTTCAGATTAAATGCAGAGGACGGCTATCCAAGGGCATTGTGATCTTGATGACAGTGCACATCCATACACCTCTCCCCACACATTGACACGCTGCAAAAACATTCTATTGAGGTGTTAAAGCATCCTCCTTATACCCCTAATCTTGCTCCATTGGACTTTCAACTGCTTGGTCCCCTCAAAGCAAGCCTTCGAGGACCAAGACTCATCTCTGATGAAGAAGTGAAGACAGTGGTGCATTTGTAGCTCACAGCTCAGCCTAAAACATTTTAAAATAAGGGCGTATGAAAGCTTGTTGACAGATGGACAAAGTGTATTGAAAAGCAAGGAGATTATGTTGAAAAAATGATGTACATGTCTTTTCTAGAAGTTGATTATAGTCTCATTTAATTAAAATGACATGACTTTACATGCTTGAATAGTATGATGATTGAAAAGAATCCAAGAGTAAGGTAAAATAATCCTCAACAAATGAAGCATCTTGACCATTACCTCAACTCAAATGACCACCAAGTTATACCTACCACTTCCATTTTCTCCTCTTCTTTTTTCTCCTTTTCTTTTTCCTTCTTTTTAGCCTTGGCAGTAATAGATAGCACAGCGGTGGAAACCTAAAAGAAAACAACTATGGTAATCATTTAAATCCATTATCTATATATAGACAAATGTACAAAGAAGACTGTCCTCAGGTGAATCTTCAGTTTCTGAAGGCTGCTGTCTAATAGACCTCTGTATCCTTGTCTAACCTGTAGCCTGTCCTGGATGCGGATTGGCTACTGTGTACTTCCACACTAGAGAAAAGTCGGCTACCCTACCCTTCTCTTTCAAGTGTAATAAGGAAAGAACGGTAAGCATACAATTTCCTCTAGCCCTGGTGATAGAGACGTTAGATGTTCTACAACGGTAAGAGCAGTGTGAGTGGTTGGATAGCTTGGAGTTCGTTCTCCCTGTTGGATCTCATGGCACTCAAAGGTGAAACAGGGATTCTGAAAGGTTGGGCAGTATTGGTGTAAAACCCAGCTTTAATGATCAAACTAGTGATAAACTAGAATCACCTAAAATAGCTATAAAATAAAGGCACTAGTTAAATAAACAGTGGTACATCCATAAAGGGATGTAAAAGAAAAATGGAACTCACACATAATGAAAGTGGGAGATAGATTGGCTCTCTGCTCCCAAAAAGATTTAAAGCTCGGAAACCCTACACTGGATCAGTATGAGTCAGAACTGACTGGATGGCACTAAACAACAACATAGTGAAAATGTCAACAATGTATTACTGAAGTGAAAAAAACCAAGATGCAGAGCAGTATGCTGACAGCAATTCTATTTGTGTTTAAAACATTGACAGGTACAGAGAAAACATTTGGAAGGACTCATAGGCTGTTATTCTTGCGACAAAGGACTTGGATGAGTAGGAAGGACAATATTCTTTACATACTTATGATCAGGTGTTACGTTTATGGCAACTAATTTAAAACATAAAATAATAAAACACTCAGAAGCTCCGATGTAAAAGTATGAACTTAAGAACCTACCTTTTCCTTTTCTTTCTCTTTCGGTACTTCAAGAGGGGCAGGATATGCAAATGTGGAAGGTTTACAGTTGGATTTATACTGAACTTTTGGCATCTGGAAAAAAAAAATTTTTTTCCCCTGTCATTCATTGAAATAACTACAATCAGTATTTTAAATTTCTAAGCTCTTCAGCAGCATACAAATACAAAGGGAGATTAGGAGTTTCAGTGCAGACTAACTGTTCAATGCTACCTCTTTTCTCTGAAAGGCACCTGTGTCTCCTTTCATTGAGTTAGTTTTTTAACAAGAGGGGAAAAAAAAGGTGTGATGAGAACAGTTTAGGATGTGGCTTTGACTTAGTGACTAGTTTCGTTCTCTCACATTCCCCGGCTGCTCCATGTTGATTTTGTTTCTGGTCACTAACTACCAAACAGCCACCTCCTAACTCCAGGCCTCTTCCCTTTAGTATCAATCAGTCTAGTATCACATAACCTTCAATACTACCCCAGTCTCAAACCTTCACTCTTTAATATTAAGGCTTGGCTGAGGTCCTCATTCTTCCTTGCCTGGATTACTACAACAGCATTGTAAATGGATTTCCTTGCTGTCAGAAAAACCTTTCTAAAACGCAAATCTTATCAGGTCATTTATTTCTCTGAAGCTCTCCAACCACTCCCTGTCTTCAGGATTAAGCGGAACTCCTCAGAGCAGTCTCAAAGCCTGTCACAGGTATACACTGGCCTTCACTCTCATCATCTGTTCCCAGGTGGATGAAAAATTTACCCGAAGAGCTATCGGGCTGCGAACCGCAAGGACAGCAGTTCGAAACTACCAGCTGTTTCACGGGAGAAAGATAAGGTTTTCTGCTCCCGTAAAGATTTACAGCCTCGGAAACCCTGTACAGGGTCACTAAGGGTCAGATTCAACTCAATGGCACTTAACACAACAACAGTTACTAAAGTCCCTGGGTGGTTCAAAAGTTGATGTACTCAGCTGCTAACCAAAGGTTAGAGGTTCAAATTGACCCATAAGCACCTTAGAAGAAAGGCCTGGTGTTCTACTTTCAAAACACCAGCTACTGAAAACCCTGTGGAGCACAGTTCTGACACGTGGGGTTGCCACGAGCCTGTATAAATGTGATGGCAGAGTACACAGTGAGGAAGGAGACTGGATTTTCAAACCTTCCACTGCCACACAATCTGAAGGGAAAATGGTTTCTTGATGAGAAGTTACGCAAACTATGAGTAGCAAAAGAGTACTCCACGAAGCACTTATTCGTCTTGAAAATTAAATGAAGATCCAAGTGTGCTGATGAATAGGATTGTCTGAAAAAATGAAGGCTTCAAGAACATACCTTTAAGTCCTTGTTTAGGCCAATGACACAGGTAGGGGTATAAGCCAATGACAGGAAGTGTGAAAGAGGAAACCAGAACCAGAACTGGGTAAAGACAAGGACGCCAACCACAGAAGGCATATGGGTGTGCCCAGTCCTGGACTGTAAGGAGATGGTGACATTATGACCACCTGTAGAAAAGAGAAGACCATGACCACCGATACAAGTGAGCAACAGTTAACAAAGTCTCAATACTGCACTAAGGAAGCATTTGGTGAAAATCTTAGGAACACACATCATACAATCTAATATGGAGTCCTCAGAGCTAGTCAGCCAGTAACCTATCAAGGAGCTCCAAAACTGCATTTTAACTGGACTCGAGGTAAATCCTGACCTTCTTTCTATACAGGCAGACACTTGGCTAAAATAACAGAAACTTCTGCATAGTAGTATTGGTGCTTTGTGCAGCCCATGACACTTTCAATATCCTCCTCCAACACCATAACTCAAAAGCATCAATTCTTCTACGGTCTTCCCTATTCACTGTCCAGCTTTCGCATGCATATGAGGTTATTGAAAATACCATGGCTTGGGACAGGTGCACCTAACCCAATTGACTAAGGATTCGGAAGTAGTTCGTCACTCTTTTTTCCTAGTCTTTGTCTGGAAGCTCATCTGAAACCTGTCCACCAAGGGTGACCCTGCGGGTATTAAAAATACCGGTGGCATAGCTTTCAGAATCACAGCAACTCACATGCCACCACAGTACGACAAACTGACAGATGAGTGGTGGCTCTGGTAGCATAGTGGTTACAAATCGGGCTGCTAACCTTAAGGTCAGCAGTTCAAAACTACCAGCCATTCCACAGGAGACAGATGAGGCTTTCTGCTCCCATAAAGTTTTATAGCCTCGGAAACCCTGTGTAGGGTCACCATGAGTGACGGACTCCACGGTACTCAACAAGAACAATCACATATGCACACAAATATTTAACAGGAAAGAATGTTTCTTGCTTTTTTATGGTGTGGCACTGGACTGTGAACCACAGTCAGCAGTTCAAACCCACCAGCTACTCCTCAGAAACCCTACACAGGGTTGCTATGAGTCAGAACGATTTGACAACACTTAACAACAACAGCAAGCAGGCACTTAACAACAACAACAATCTACAGTAAATTATGCAGAGTCCTGGTGTGGTGCTGTAGGTTAATGCGTCAGACTGCAAAACCGTTTGAACTGCAAGGTTGGTGGTTCAAGCTCACCAGCAACAACCACAGGGTTGCTATGGGTGGGAACTGACTCGACGGCACTTAACAACAACAACATGTACAACTACTAAAAAATCTACGCAGCACTGAATGTTTACTCTATGAATTATTCAACCACTTACATTGATAGGACGCAGTTCCACCATTAACTTGTCTTGTGATTCTGGACACATTACCTGACCTCTGAGAGTCTTTTTTCCACATTGGCAGTGTTTGAAACAGAGCAGTAGTTTTCAAAAGATACATTTTAACCTCAGACCCTTGATTCAATTGAAAAATTCCAAGAACATGGGTGAAACAATGGAATTAGAGCGGATTCCACAGAATCACATGTTTACACTGTTGGCAGAGCTCAACTATGGCTTGGAACCTGACCTGTTCACATGACTCCTGCTAGGTCCCCTAAGCTATTCCTTGAGGAAGTACAGAAAAAGAGTGTTTGAAACCCAGGAAACTAGATCTCAGGTCCAAGCATCACGGGGATGACTGAATCTTTAATGGCACTTTGAAATTCAGGGAAGCTATTAAGAGTTGCAGAGTCCTGGTGTGGCGCTGTGGGCTAATGCGTCAGACTTCAAAGTTGTTTGAACTGCAAGGTCGGTGGTTCAAGCTCACCAGCTGCTCCTTGGAAACCCTATACAGGGTCACTATGGTCAGAATTGACTCAATGGCACTTAACAACAACAATTAAGGGTTGCAAACTGAAATACCTTAAAAAAACCCAGCCAGTTAACACAAATGATAAAAAAGTGTGCTAGGAGCAGTGGAGACTAAAGCAAACTAGAGAGTCCATGTCCTATTTAAATATGGTAGCTGTTACTAGGAGCAGTGGAGACTGAAACAAACTAGAGAGTCCATGTCCTATTTAAATGTGGTAGCTGTTACTAGGAATGTAGGACTGAAGTACTATGCATAATATGTTTTCCACTAGGTCACTAGATCATTTTGTTGTAAAAGTAGACCTTGATCTTGAAAGTCTTGCTTGGTAGGCAACACAAAAATCACCACTGGTCAGATGTGGCCCATGACCTACTTCGATGCATCCTCTGGTCTCTACTGTGACAGTGTTAGTGTTGAACTAAGAACTCTGAGATCCAAATTTTTAGTTTATTGAACAGATGATGGTAAGTGGGGCTTATCTATTCTGAACCAGGATCCTAACTGGAATTCTGATGTGGAATCCGTTGCTTGCTTTTCTTTCTCTCTCCTCTTGGTCTCAGGACCCCACATATACATCCACAGTCAAAAAGTATTAACTTTACAAAACAAAAAGCATTTTAATTGTTACAAAAATCAGGATTCTGAACTTCAACCAAGTAATCCAGAGTTTCTTAATACCCCACTATAGATCTTTCACCAGAGCCCTGGTGTGGCGCTGTGGGTTAATGCGCCAGACTTCAAAGTCATTTGAA